GCAGGAATTGCCAAGGCAAGGGAGGAATATGCTTGATAGCTAGGGCTAGGGTACGCTGGCATCTCTCAAGCAGTACCCCGGCGTGCTGGCTCCCCCGGCTCCTCGCAGGCAGACATACCACAGAACTGAGGACATTCTAGGGAGATAAGCCAAGCCTTCGCTCAGACTGGTTCTTCTCTATCTTCCAAGTCTTCCTAAGGACGCAGAATTTCTCGAGCCAGCGAGCGATGTTCCCCGGCTCGGCTGTGCCCGGCAGATTTCTGTGCGAAGAACAGATGTCTGGTCCCTGCTGCCTGGGCGTGAAGAACCTGAGCCCCTGCTACAGGCAGGCAGAAGGTAACTGCTCCCTCCTTCTTAGGGGACGGTTGTAGAGGGTGAAGGAGGTTTCAGGCCTGGTTCTAACCCGCACTGTCCTGAGACATACTGAGCTTCTGTTAGGAAGGAAGGAGCTGGAAAGTATCAAAGTTCCACCAAAATGCAGCACTTTCTCATGATGCCAGTTCTAGGATCAGCCCTGCTGTGGCCTCTCTTCAGCACAGAACTTCGTGCCATCGAGGGTCTTCCCATGGGGCCTGTGTGCCAAGCAGAAGTCCCCCCTGCAAAACACACAGGAAAGGTGCAGCATTTTGAAACTTCTAACAGTCTCTGACAAATTTTTGTGTCAGCAGTGGAAATACATCCAAGTCTAGTAGCTCCTGTGTCTGCCTCTAGTCAACTCCTGCTGTTGCTGTAGCCACAGGAGTGGGTCTGACTGGACTTACAGGAAGGCCCGAATGTTGCTTGTTCAGCACTGGCACACTGCGATGAGACTGGCCCTTAGGGAGGGCTCTTTGCCCCTGCGTGGGAGATGAGACATAAAGGATGGGCTGGGACACCCCTGAAAAGGGGCATGTGTAGCGGAGGAAGGGAGAACCCAAGCATTACTAAGCTGCAGAGGTGTTTGCTTGCAGGCCCAGTGGAAGCAGTTCAGTTCGTTTCAGATGGAGAGGCCATTGGTCTCCAACTGCCCGCTCTGCAGCCAGAGCTGGAATTGACTCAGGTGACGGCCATCGGCCCTGCTCCCAAGGCCCAGCTGGTGAGGAGCGTCCTGGAGACCCAGCCCCTGATCCGGAACTCGGGCTGCAGCGACTGCTTGGGAGGGGCCTTGCCACCCACCGAGGTCCGGCAGGGCCCGGCCAGGGTGGCGGAGGCCCTGGCCCCTCTCTCGTCGTGTGCCTCGGAGATGCAGCACAAATGGCCCCACGCCCCAGTGGAGTGTACGGAGCTCGACCTGCAGAAGTTCTCCACCCAGATGGACTTCGTGGGCAATGAGAGATCGGAGGATGCAGTGAGCCGGGTGACTCGGAGAATCCCAAAGGAGAACAACAGTGGAGCATGTGAAGCAAGGAACGGGTTCGTGGATCCAAGAAGAGTCCTGTCCTCAGCCTTCCTGAGCCCGACTGCCGAAAGAGGGGAGCAGCCGGTAAGTTCCTCCGATCTCTCACCTTCTCTCCAGGGGTGTTGGCCAACTCATATGCAGGAGGCTGGAAGTGCAGGCAGATTAGGGATGTAGGCTCATAATAAGGGAAGGTGATACTAGCACTGCCTGGTAATTAGCAAAAATGATTAGCCAGATGAGCCTTATTTGCTCCCAAGCACATCAGTAAACATTTTCTGTGATTTAAGCAAGAGACTGGAAGCGGTTGGTGAGACAACATAAGTCCAGCATGTCTGCCTGAATAAAAGAATTTTTTTTTTTTATTGGTGATGGGTGTGGTTTTTTTTTTTTTTTTTTTTTTGGGATGGACATGATTGGGCAGTAAAGGTGGCATAAAGCTACAGTGCTCAGAGCAGCACCATTCAGATACTCAGAAAAGTGGAGACAGTTTATTGAATACATAGCACAGACATATTTCTGGATATGCGTAACTGGTGCGCCCTTGAGAGATTCTTGTACTCTTGCTCATCTAGAGCACTCTCCTGGCACTGGCAGGAGACTGCCAGTCTGCACCAGAGTGCAGGTGACTGCACTCCAGGCAGTCACTCCTGTTCCCTGACAGCCAGTTTGAAATGAACCAAATGACTAACATAAATGCGGTTCAGAAAACGCTAGTGAAGAAATGAAGAAATAGCTTAGCTCCAGGTCATGATTTATGGAAGCAGTTTGCTGGGAGGCCCTGGAGGAGGTTGTCAGCTGAGATGGTAACGCTCAGTGGATAAGTGTCAGTCCTTTATACGTCTGTGAAGGTCCTACAAGCACTGGCAGGCACAGCTGTTGCGCATCAGATGGTCTCCAAACTTTAGGTCTTTATTTTGCCAGGTGAATGATGCCCAGAGCCTTGTGACTCAGATCAGCAGCACTACCAAGGGTAAGTGTCTTTGTAGCCCCATCTGTTTCACCAAGTATTTGGGATGGCAGAGGGAGACAAGGCCTTCGCCATGGTGAACCTCTAGAGCAGCTCCTTCCCATGTTGGGGAGCCAGTCTTCACAAAGGAGGTTTTTGTGACATAAGCTGGAAAGGCCCAGGGGTGGGTGCTGGATGGATGCTCAGCTCTTACTTGTTACCATCCTCCACGGGCCCGAGAGCAGCTCTGTGTTGCTGGGCTCTGAAGGTAGCAGTGGAGATTCCTGCCATGGCAGGATGTGCTTCACCCCCTGGGCAAGGATAGGGCTCCAACGTGGCTGCTCGGGTTATTGTTATCCGAGCTGGGTAAGTTGATTTCTAACTGCACTTTGCTGTATTGCTGCCCCCAGGTCTTCCAGTAGCAGAGCTGCCCCATTCTTTGGTGCAGTCACTTGCCTTCTTGCTAGACCCTTCCTTGAATGGGGTGAAGAATTTCAGCCACGTGGCCCTGGAGCTGGGAGTCACCCCCCAGCTGTTGGGAAGGATATCTGGATTTGAGCAACTCGTCACCCACTTCACCTACTCCGGCGACACTGTCACCATTCCTGTCCTGGCCCAAGCTCTGCAGCGGCTCCAGCGGTTCGATGCCCTGCTCCTGCTCTGTGACCACTTTGCTCTCAGCCAGATTCAGAGCCGCCAGTGCTAAGAGGAGATAGGGAAGGGACAGAGGAAACTCCAGGCACCCTCTTTACTGGTAGAGGAGGGTCTTTGGTAAGACCGTGGTCACATAATCCCTTCAGTGTGCCTGTGGTGATTATGTGGAGATGGTCTCCGCATCATGGGACAGAAGCACGTGAGCAGGAATCTCCCTCTGAGAAGAGCAGAGGAGGCGACTGCATCACGTACCCTCACAACCTTCACCTCTGCTCGTGTCGGGGTTGTGAGGTGGTTCTCAGGCCCCTCCAGAATCATTTTCCTTTTGTATTTACATTCTTGTCCAGAACCCGAGTGGCCTCACAGCTGCTGTGCTGCTGCTCTGTGGCTGGCCATGGTGTGCGATGATCTGTGTATATTGTGTAGGCGTCTGGTTATTTCTGTAAGGCTCCTTGGGCATGGTTGGTGCTGGGATCTGGTGTTTTGGGCAGCCTTTGAGCAGCCCCTGCTTTGGGGATGATGGAACAAAATCCTCAGGGGCTGTGCGGGAGGGTCCTCGGGTGTCCTCGCTGGCACTGAGAGCTGACTTCTCGGCTGGTGCAGCCTCCTAGAGGCCCAACAATCACTTCTTCCCCATTCCAGCTTTTCAGATGTTGGACCTTCTTCTTTTGGCCAATACTGTGTTTTCTTGGGTTCCTGTTGCCGCTTTTTGAGTTTACTTTTTGTTTGTTTCTTCCTCCGTGTGCCGCTCTCAGAGGAGAACCTGTGTGACTGACCTCTGTGGCGGAGAGGCCGGGCGCTCGGTTCGCGTGCCACCCCACACCACGGTCCATTCATGCCATTTCCCTCTTGTGAAACGGTGCGGTTTTCTTAAAGGAGTTTTAGAGTGAGTAGCAGAGTTTTTAGATAAAAGTTCTTCTTAAGGTGTAATGCTGCACGGCCCCCGGCCAGGGTAGCGACGCCTTTGCTTGCCGCCCCCGTCTCCTGCCCAGCTGCTCCGCCGTGGTGCCCCCGGGCAGCCCCAGGGCGGGCGGATGAGGCTGAGGTCTGGGCTCCCCAGTGCTGCTGCCTGCGCTGGGCGCT